CGAGAACCGCGAGGTGCTGGTCGCGGAGGGTGAAGACCCGACCGCAGCGCTGCTCGCCGACAAGTGACCGCGCAGCGAAGCTGCAGTACGGCGATGACCGATAGATGGCTGTGCTTTGTCGTAGGCGGTTGAAGAGGGCTGGGATTCACGTCTAATGATGTTAAATTTCAAACCTGGCGCTGTTTTGTTGCTCTTCCAGACTCTCGAGGACGTCACCGTATCGCATGGTCATATGCGCGCATAACTTGAACTTGGTTACGTTATTAGTTGATGGCGTGTGGGTTTGACTGCGTACCTGTGCCGCCGGCTAGCGATTGCCTCCCTGACATCCATTATTCATGCCTTGTGGCCTCTGAGAAGTTGTGAGATACAAGATCTTCCATGTGATAGCTCTCCGCTCCGTCCGTCGTAAGGTTTTCATTGCGTGCCGAACATGTGTACCACTTTGTGGTGTCATTTGTCTGTTATGTCTACCATTGGTGAGAATTATACTGGCTAAGCGCAGGCATATCACATGATCTCAGATTTGATGCGGTTGTCGCTTGTAAACTATGTGGTATCGGATCTATACATCACTGCATCGCCAAGTTGAGAAAGGAAAGTAACCGTTGGCACTGATGTTGGGCAGGCATAGGGCGAGTCCTCTGCAGGCATTAGTGGGGCGCCTGTGTACATTTGTCAGAGTGTTGTCTGGCGTTCAGATTTGTTAAATGCAGGTCAAGTAGCAGCTGTTGAGGCGTTTGTCCAGAACAGGCACAGGCACTACTATTTCATTTGGTACATACTAAGAGGCATGTGTATACTAAGAGGCATGTCCATTCGTCGGCGAGACGGAACTCGTCAGTACTGCCATCCGATAGCCCTTCTATGAACCTGCCACTGGGCGCCTTCCAAGTAAGGCTGTCCACCGTTGGTTTTCGCTCACCTTCGCTGTATGAGAGAAATGGGGCGAGGTGATTAATCGGGATCTAACCGCGGACACAAGCCTCCTGGCTGCCGCTGGACGCTCGCACGGTGGGCGCCTGGTGGGAGGGGGGCCCGGGCGCCTCCCCGGGCCAAATGACATTGCTAGGAGCGCAACACGCTGGCATGACAGGACCGTACTTTGGTCTGTGACGGGCAAGACGCATGTATATTTTGGACATCCAATGATGGACCATGTCGGGGTAGGCCAGCGTCGGCGCACAGGGCTGAAGACCTCGGAGCACGAGGAAGGTTCAGACCCCATCCACGAAGACAGCACCCGTGTCTCCAGTCCTGGTAGAAGACGATGTCCGCATGGCCGCTGTCGGGGCCATGTGGACGCACGCCTGTGCGACTGCAGTACGGGTGGCATCAGGTCTGCCGTCGATGGCACGTGAACTGCGGGACAACGGCGCAGGGGGCTGAGCATTGGCGTTGGCTAGAAACAAATGAACCAGAAAGGATAGCACACCCCCTCTCACAGCATCGAATGACTTCTATTCACCCCCCGCGAATTGTTGGTCACCGGGCTCGGCTAGCCAATTTTGAGTCGGTCGCCCCCCTACATGGATTGCATTCCCGAGCGGTCCATAAAGGATTAAAAAGGCACGGTTATTTCATTTCTTTACACGTTATTGATGATTTGTTTTGTCTGCGCCGTGCGCTTTGTCTCTGTTTATTTCAGCTCAGATTGGAGAGAGTCAAGTGTTTTTGGACGATTTGCCGATATGTCCTCCCCTGGACTTGTTGCTGGAACCATCCTTGGCCTCTGTCACCGTCCCGCCCCCCTAGCGGCGTCTTCGGCGCCAATTGGAGGTGTCCTTGAAACTGGCGCAGCGGCCCGTGTACGCCAGCCACGGCCCGGGTTGCGCGGGTCGTGATGAATAGTCCGCACGGGTCGAGGCGCGGAGTTCTTGGATTGGGAAAGGTCAGCGATCCCCTTATCAGGTTTGCTGTGATCATCGCGGCTGCGGCTCAGTCTCGTGTCGTCACGTGGCGTAGCTATTAGGTGGGGAGTGAGTCACCTGGTTGAGCGTCTATAGTTGAGTAGTCTGAATAATCGAGCTCTGAGCCCGGTGATTAGATATTTATCCTGCGCATGATATTGATGCTGTTAGTCTGATGTGTTGCTTGCTGGTGTGTAACAGTATGGTTTCAGTTAGCTATCTAGGCTGTTAAGTTATATATGCATGAGTAAAGTAACTGAATTTTCTAAGGGCCATGGCCCTGCATTGCTGCATTTTCCCCCTCACAAGCATGTATGCATGCATGCATGCACGTGCGCACGCACGCACATGCACACATGCACACAACACACACACACACACCTATAATAATGCTAGAGATAGGGGACAGATGGTCCAAGAGAAATACTGGGGTTGCTCTTGTCATGGATGGTGTTGCATTGCCGCCCCCCCCCCCCCTCCCTCCAATAACCTATGAAGTTTCACCCTTGGATGCATAACCTCTCCATCATGCTGATTTTGCTCCAGCTGTATGCTGTCATGAAAGTTAATTGGCAATGCTATGATTTTTCACTGTAATATCAACAGATAATGCTCAGTGCTATGAAAAGGCATCACTGTTTAAACAAACATATGGATTATCTTGTGATACACAGAGATATGGTCTTGCATGTCAGACATGTAACTTTGACTAATAACAATTTATATTGTTATGGGTTAGTAATTTGCCTGCATAGGCTTGGTAGTCTCATGGCATTCGTTGAGTATGCTTCTTTCGACCAGTACTGATTCAAAATTCAGACTTTTCTGAAAGATAAAAAAGCTCTTTAAAAAATTACTTGTGTATGCTCAGCTCAAGTCAACACTGACAGGCACTGGTAGTGCAGTGGTTAAGGTCTGCATCTGGGAAGCTGAAATGACAAGGTGTGGTTCACCGTGAGGATCGGTTCATTGCATTTGGATGTTATTCCTGCGGGTGTGGCAGGCAGGTGGAGCTCTTGCATGTAGTCTGAATGGCCAGGTACATGGTAAAGCCCTGTTTATGACATCAAAAACAAGTTTACATGGAATTTGTTGTGCCTCAAAAATAAGGCCTAGAATTTGATTTTTTAAAAGTCTGAAATCAGTACTTCATTCAAAAGCATTGCTCCAAATTTCTACTCTAATGACACTGCTCATCCTGTTTATGTACTGCCAGCATTTTTTATGTCCATCCCAGTTGACAGTTGAGTTCCCAGCAACTGGCCTGCATCTTAGTATGCCTTGTTTTGGAATGATGCTTTTGTCACTGGATGTGATGTAAACTGTAAGATGAATGCTTTGCAAGATGATGTTATGCAACATTAGCTGTTTGATGCATTGGGCATGCTGAGTGGTGGGTGAAATAAACATATGACTGTCCAACTGGCTGTCAAAAGTGCTAAGCCACATCACAGACTCAGCAAACATGACCACATGGGTTTGGTCATCTGAGTGATGACATCACCAAAATGTGAATCAGATGGTTATGATGTTGCTGAGGGTCAGGGACAGCACTGAGCATGGGACACAGAGTATGATGCACAGGGCATAGAGGGGACTGGGCATAGAGAGGACCCAGAGGCGGATTACATTACATGGAGCGCAGGGCTCGGAGCACGGTGCTCGGAGCATGGGATGCAGAATACTGGGCATAGGGCACAAGATGCAATGTGGAGTGGGCTGGAATGAACTGCAGTGGACCATAGAGCGCTGAAATCACTGGGGTTTCAGAGATCAACAGAATTACTTGGAATGGCTTGAGTGTCGCGTTCACGGAACCCTGCTGAGCCTGCCTGAACCAAACGGGGAACGGATATGGCCGGAGAGCACCGAACAGGTGACCGGAGAGGATCAGACAGGTGACCTGAGAAGACTGGGCAGATGACTTGAGAGAAACGGACAGATGACCAGGGAGGACTGATCAGGTGACTGGAGAGGACCGGTCAGATGACCGGACAGATGACCAGAGGGCACCGGACAGATGACCGGAGAGGACCGGTCAGGTGACTGGAGAGGACCGGTCAGATCGCCGGACAGATGACCAGGGGGCACCGGACAGATGACCGGAGAGGACCGGACAGGTGACCGGAGAGGACCGGTCAGGTGACTGGAGAGGACCGGTCAGATGACCGGAGAGAACCGGACAGATGACTGTTGATGACTGGGCAGGTGACCGAGGAGGACCGGTCAGATGATCGGAGGGCCCCGGACAGGTGACAGGAGAGTACCGAACAGATGACCGGAGAGGGCCGGACAGGTAACCAGAGAGGACTGGACAGATGACTGGAGAGGACCGGACAGGTGATCAGACAGGTGACCTGAGAGAACCGGACAGGTGCCCGGAGAGGGCTGGACTGGTGACTGGAGGTGATCGGAGAGGACCGGACAGATGACCAGAGAGCAGCTGCTGACCAGGGGGCAGCTGACCAGGGGGCACCAGACAGATGACCGGAGAGGACTGGGCAGTTGACTGGAGAGGACTGGACGGGTGACCGGACAGGTGATCAGAGAGGACCGGAGAGTACCGGACAGGTGACCAGAGAGCACCGGACATTGACCATAGGGCACGGGACATGTGACCAGAGGACACCGGACAGGTGACTAGAGAGCACCGGACAGGTGACCAGAAGCGGCTACAGCAGCCACGTAAGTGTCAGCACCAGAATGAACCTACCTGACTGAAATGTTTTCAGCTGGACTGGACCAGGCCGAAACATCGCTGCTGGTCCTGTACGGGTCGTAGGGGACTGTGGTCATAGAAACGACCACGGAGACAGTAGGATTCAGGGGTGTATTGTCCTATGCAGATGGGTAGCTTTAACCTCCCCTCTTCCCACCGACTTCGGCCCCATCCCCCTACCAACTTGCACTACAGCCCCCCTCCCCCCCCCCCTCCTAATTCTTAGAGGGAAGTGGACCAAATCCAAGGAAAACTTTTCTGGCGTGTTTTGGAGGGAAGTTGAGTAATTGATCACTGGTCAGCTCCCCCTCCCCCCCCCCCTCCTCCAATTCATTTTGAGAAACTGCACCCCCAAGAGGCTTAGAAATGACTGGAAAAGACCAGACGAGTTTCAAGACGGTGGAGCACTTCACAACTCACGGAAGCTGACCGGACCAAGCTGGAAATGACTTGACGGGTACACACCGGGGGACTGGACCAGGGCTTAGGCCTTGATCCGAGCTGTAGCCAGTTTCATGAAGAGAAGTTACTACTTACTGCGAGCTGGCAGAAGTAATTTTGGCGTTAATCCCTACTTCCTACGCCGGTTTCATGGGCCTGGCATCACTTCTCCGAAATAAAAAGTAAAATCCCAAGGCTGAAGTAATTTCCATAGCCATGCAAGCGGTTATGTTCATGGCAACGATGTTTTCGGTTTGGACCTGAGAGATCGAGATGCCTGTAATGCATCCAGAAATACTGATAAGGTTACGTGAAGTGTGGTCATTTATAGATTAGCGTGGTGATGGATTTGGGCTTTGACTATTAATTCCTGCACCAAGTGCGATCAATTTTTTATTCGCTGAAATACAGACATCTTATATTTATCGGTATTGTTCCGCTACTCGCAGAAGTAAACAGTGCTGTTCGGTTCGTGTGTTCATACCCTGGTTCCTAGGGAAGCTGTACTATGTGTGAAGGCAATATGTACGACAACGAAAGGTCCTTGAAATAGCTGACTTTATCCTTACCCAAGGTTGTGCATTTTGTGAACTTAAGTCATGTCTGTCCGTGCCATAGCAAAAAATAAAACAAAATCTCGTGAAATCCGCGACTTGTGAGAAAGAGGTTGGTTTTCATAACGGTCTGCCAGCTTGATCCACCACCGTTCTTCTGTTTGTGACGCCCACAAAGCTGCTATACGAACCGCAGTTGCATTGATTTTCTCACATATGCGTACTCGTCCGCCCCTGACATCTTGAGATCGCTTCATAGTTCAACAATCTCCCACTGCAGGTTGATTCTCGATCTGAATAGCGTGTTCCTCCGCTCCCGTATGGCCATGCTCCGGCTCCTCTATGATCACCATTGATTATTTTACGACGGGCCGGAGCATCTTTTTATTTAACTTTAGTTTCGAAGTAAATGTCTACCCCATGGTCAAACCATTTGCGTGTATGGAACCCGATGGATGCCTGGTGAAGTACAGAATAACTCCTTACTCTAGATCTCCCCATAGATGTATAATTTTACGAGCGTTGAAGTAAACAGTCACTATTTACTCCATGCAACCGGATTCGAGGTAAAAGGTTGTCGAGTTACTCCCTACACCACATGTACACGCCATTGTGTCTATGAAACTGGCTAGTGGGCTTGATCGTGCTCGGTTAAACTAGACGGAGCTGGACAGGAAAGGACCGACAATGAACAGCAAATCAAGAGCAGAGTTCACGTGTATCAGACCGATATCCCACTGGGTAAAAATGTAATGTTATATTGTTGTTTACAGCCGTTTTCACCGTTCATTTCAGGCGCGGCCATGTGTGACCAAACATCTTCTATCTTAAAGCGAGAGCCCAACATCCAACACGAAGACCTTCCGGACCGTGTGACGTCATCACTGGGAGATATCAGTAAGTACAGCCAGAGCTGCAACAGATGAGGAATTTTAACGTTTGAGCCTTACCGGAGACCTTAGTGTGGAGTGCTTCAGCTGGTTGGGGAGGGGGCTATTGGCTGTACCGCATTAAGGAATTGCGGCTGGAGGATGTAATCTTCGTCAGCGGACTTTTTAAACTAGTGGATCCCTGGAAGTTTACAAAAATAGGTTGCGGGCAAAAGTACGGATGGCATTTGTTCGTAGCCCCAAAGTACGTATGCCTAATGTTTGTCAGGTTTAAGTACGTAGAGTTCGTAATGGCAAAGGTTCGTACCGGCGAACGAACTTATAGATCAGATCCCATGATGAAATGTTCGTCAGGAGAACATTTGTAGTGAAAATGTTCGTACGTTCAAAAGTTCGTACGTTCAAAAGTTCGTACGTAAAAAGGTCTACAAGCGGGCACCCCACTCGTTCTCACGTCGTGTTACATCCGACGCGTACGATTTGATCAGTGATACCAGTTTTTCGAAATCCTTCTGAAAAGCTTAGAATTTCGATTTAAAGCAGCCGACCCTGCGAGAGAAATGTCATTAGACTCCCTGCTCACCACTACGAAAGTAGTACATTTCATTTGCGTTACTTTGCCAACGTATGTGTTCTCTAATATTTGCCACACCCTTGTGTTTTAAAACGTTGCGTAATGAATGCTGCGAAAGCGTGAAACATTGTTTAAACAAAAATGTATTCGACTATGAAGTTTTTATCCAGGGAACTCAACGAAACATTGTGCTATGACTGATTTCTCTTCTATAGCGTTTGCCACAGTGGCTCTTTTCGAGGCGCACTTTGGCTTTTGGAATGCGAGTATCACATGGTCCATGTGAGGCACTGGTGCAAATTTCAGCCAACGAACTTCTCAGCGACAGGCCCTTGCGCGCTGAGCATTCACAAACGTTCCTGTATTCGCGCCAGTAGAGGTGTGCACGGTAGTTGCCACGACTGCGGTGTTCGTGACGGCAGGAAAGAAGCGTGATTCTGTTACATAGTTTTGGCAGCGTAATTCGAACTCGAAAATTATTAAAGGTTATATCCTTATTGTGCATAGACTGTGCTGCAGTGACCCTACGCAACGTTATTATTACACGTAGCTAGTCGTGAGGTTTCACTAGAGTATGTTTTTGAAATATACCTCCAGGGTGGGACGCTTCCTTCAAGCAATTGTTTGCACCCAAATATTTGAGCGCTGATGTAAGTTAGGGAGAGTACTTGTTGCACAGAAGAACGCAAGCTGAGGTTCGTGCTTCAACAGCTGATGTAAGCACATAGGTTTTGTACAACAATTTCCTCAATGATGAAGTGCGTTTGACGACAGTAAAACGTACTTCTCTGCCTAACTCCGTGTGGAGATGTGTGCTGAACATTGGCATGTAGATATTCGTCTCGGTGTCAGGTGCTGGGCTGGTAGCCACTATGGGGCCATTACACTCTCGACTGGGGAGAGGAGGGAGGTGGGGATGACGATGAACGGCGACGGTTTCAAAGGTCAGGTCAAGTACTATGGCTCACCAAACTCTTCATGACATGAACTTTACACTCTGAGACGACCTGGAAATGAGTTCGAATCAGTTGGGAGTATGCAAGACGACACTGAGATGGAGAGGGCTGGAGGTTTAAACAGCAATATAAGACAGGTCTACCGCGGATCACCCGCCGAGTTTGTTACGCTCCCCCACTATCCCTCACCCTGACGACGCCTCTGTCGACTCTTCGCCTGACGCCCCCTGAGCGCGCCACTGGCGCCAGCTGACGAACGCGGCGTGTCAGCTCGCTTGTGGAATGCGGCGGGTAGAGGCGCCTAAGACACCTGGTATGCGACTGCCGATGTAACGTAAATCGGAGACCAAAGGGACTGACGCACCAGCTAGACCTGCTTTGATACACCCCCTTTGATAAGAACCCTGTTTGCACCCGAGCCATCTGAGGTAGCCCGGAGCAGCGGTTGGTGGGGCGTGCCCACATGAGAATGAATGAGCCCGGGCTTTTCATCAGTTCATCACATCGCTCCGGTTGGTGCGGTCTGGAAGGAGGTTTCTGTCGGACAGTAAAGGGATTCTCCGGCTGCTTCTAAGCAGGCCCCTCATGGCTTGCGAACACCGACCCGCTTTCCCCGAGGGCGCTACCAGCATGTGAAGAATACCACCCGTGACTGTAAAGGCAATTTGGCAGTAAAGCCCCAGTCAGAAATACCAAGGTCGGTACAGCGCTGGTGTTAACACGAAACTAACGAAAAGAGAAACAAGTTCGCAATGGTGGAACGGATCACCCCAACGAAACGTGGTCAGGCTGTACTGTGTACTAAAACTCGTGTCAGCTCGATGTTTTTTTTTTGTTGTTGTTGTTTTTTTGTATTAGAGCTCTTTCGACCAGAAATGAGCATTTCAGGGCTATGGGATGAAGGAGAATGGCTAACGATAGGGTAGACTCGCATGCGCCTGGGGGGGGGGGGGCTAACCGCCGGGCTTTAACTCGCGCATGAGCGCTGGGTACCCGGTTGGGGTCCCCCTTCCCACGGGGCTCTCGGCCCACTCGTGGCTGTTGCATGCAGCCCGCCCCGGACAAGCGGGGTGTCGCGAGGATGCAGGATGAAGCGAGGTAGAGGATAAGAGGTACGGATGCTCGATGGTTTTGTGCAGGTATACAACCTGGCGAGATTCATAGGTTGAATGTTTTTGCTCTCTCATCAATCACAGAGAAATATACCTACCACCAGCGAATACCAGCCAGTAGGTAATTAACCATAAATTGATCCATCATAAACGTAGCAACTAAAACTAACAAACACGAGCAGTGTCAACAGAATACGATATCATGTCCAGCACTTAGCTTGACCAAATGGCGCCATCCAGCAGCAACGAGCTGGCCTCGGTGCGCACATCGCACCGGTACAGAAGCTCACTAGCTCGCTAGATTGCGTACCTCGCGCCGCGACTGGAGCTCACTGGCTCTTTAGTTTGCACACCTCACACCGCTACTGGACCTTACTAGCTCGCTAGATGTGCGTACCTCGCACCGCTACAGGGGCTTGCCAGCTCGCTAAATGTGCGCACCTCGCACCGCTATTGGAGCTCACTAGCTCGCTATATTACGTACCTCGCATCGCTACAGGAGCTCACTAGCTCGCTAGATGTGCGCGCCTCGCACCGCTATTGGAGCTCACTAGCTCGCTATATTACGTACCTCGCACCATTACAGGAGCTCACCAGCTCTCTAGGTGTGCGCACCTCGCACTGCTTCGGGAGCTCACCAGCTTGCCAGAGTGGAGCCACGGCAAACCCGTCGTCTGTCTATCATTTATGGCGTGATCCCATAAATAGTGACTGATGGACACTCAGCGGGCATTCGACTGGCGTGCGCTTAAGGCAAAAGCCTGCGTGATGGGAAGAGCTAGCACGTACGCGGTCCGAAGCCGAATGGTCAGGATCTTCGTGGACGCCTGCGACACGACACTAAGTCGTCTTATGCGTCACAGATCGAGCAAAACGAGGGTGCCGGTAGTGTAGTGGTTACCGCGTCTGCGTTAACCGCTGCGCGTCTGGGAAACAGAGGTACGGGTTCGATTCCCCGGGGTGCCCGCATTTCCTGGCAGGGTGAGAGGCAGGCGATGTCATATGGCCTCAACAGTTGCTTGCGTCGTTAGGCCCCGATGACACACAGCGAGCAAAGCTATGAATTTTGTGAATGTCATCAGCTGTTACGTAGATGATGTCAAAGGGAAAGGTAATGAAATTAGACACCCTGGGCAACTGACACAGCAGCTTGGGTCAATCCTTTGGTTGAAGACCATTGTATTTGAACGAACAGATAACTCCAAAAAAGCAGAATCATCGCCAAAAAAAACACCTAAATTGGAAGCAGATAGTGGTCACCATAAGCGGGGTTGCGCGCCCATGTGCATTCCGTGGCCGTATCCGTTTAGGCTGCTGCATCTTATATTCCATGTTGGTTCCGGGAGTGCGGCCATGTTCGCTCTCCCGTCGGTTATGGTTCCCATGGCAACCCTGCGGCTCGGACAGTTTCGAGCGGGCTGCAGCCGGTGCTTCCGCTTTCACCCTGCAGTGGATTCACGTCCTCATCGGTGTTCCAGTTGCTAAGATCCGGCATAAATCCTTGAAAACGCCCGAGAACAAGTCGACCCGTGGTTTTGGCATGACAGCTCGTGACCGTGGGAACACATCGATTCCCGATTCCGTGCATTCGATCGTCCGTGTTGTTCCCCGTCACAAACGGCCAGTTCCGTGTCGCTGGCGATGGGTCGCTCACTGCTTGACCCGGTTTCTCTTCATGTTCTTTAGGTCTTCCGCAGTTATGCAATTTTGCGTTGTTCGTGTTGAGCCAGTGGGGTAGTGGAGTCGTGGTAATATTATATTTTTCCAGAAGATGCCCCTGATCAGAGACCTTACATGTAGATGACGAGCAATCTATGCTGCATAATCTTTAAAGAACGCAACTTCCTGCGGTTGAAAACTGCATGAGCCTGCGACCAGGGGTTGTTAAGATATGTAACGCTTAGAAAGCCCCCCCCCCCTCCCCCCCAGCCGAGCATGGTCCGGGCGCTCAAGTTTAAGCTTTACCGTAGTTCGAGGACGATTCGCTGTGCCTGCGGTCTCGCTGGTAAGCAGGTTATTCAACTTGGTTCTCTTCCAGACACCGAGCTGGAGACATCCGATCTGCAGCAACAGCAGACGGATTCCGCACAAGATCTCCGTGGGCTAGACATGGGTACTAACTTGAGTGAATTGGTACGCTCTTGAGCCTGTGTTGCCGGTAGTTTGTGTCTGTCTTCCACCGGGAGGATTTGCTGAGGGTTAGCCTGTCTTCCCTTTCTCCTGGTTTGCTCACTGGCGTATCGAAGATAATTTTTTTTTTTTTTTCAATTCAACAATTCAAATTCGGTAGGGTATTGGGACAACGATATCGTCCGTAGTTGAAAGAAGAAATGAATTATTGTATGATCACGGTAGAATCGGGTTCGACGAAAATCATCAGCTACGTAATCGTAGGCCGCTCGTTGAAACCGTCTGAAGAGGTCTGCAATTGGCCGTAAGCGAAGATGATGTCCCACTTAGCATCCGGTAAAATCCACGGTAGCTTCATGGAGTGAATTTCGAATGAACTATGTGCAGAGGTCTAAGTCAAACAAAACAGATCAATGCAATACAAATCAATAAAATACAAATGAAATCAGTTCAAATCAAACAAAGCAAATCAGTCAAACTTTTCCGTCAAATACGGTGGAACTTCATTTCATCCAAAGGTTGCCGGCAAAGTTCGGATTTTTAGGCGTCGAATTTGGTGCATACAATGGCGTTAGTGGGAAAATCCTCATCTCTCTAGGTGTACCTTCAAAGTGAAATTGAAGACCAAATGACGGCAGACTCATTTCCGCCTAAATGTATCCACCTATATCGGATTGTTAGCATCGAAACTTTATCCAGCACATAAACTATCGTCCGTCAAATGTCCTTGCCTCTTAACTTAAAGTCATTCTTAGTTGTCACTATGACGAGGAAATGCCGGGAACTCTATCAAACCCGAAAGTTAACCCGGTTGAATGCGGGAGCTACAAGTGCTAGATTCTTATTTAGCGTCATATATACAGCCGTGAAGCGGTCCTTACCACCCAAGTTTCAGGCACCCGTCATTTGACCTTAATTTTACCTTCAAGGTTAATTTTCGGAAGTCAGGACCTTTTTTATGCGAGAATCGTTTCAAATTTTATGAGCATGTATATTCCAAAATAATGTGCTCGATTGTCTAATGCTCCGCGACCGTGGGTGACTCAAACTTTGAAGAGACACTTGAAGCCTGATGACTCAGCGCATAGCGCGTTTAGTACGTAAGCGTCGTTTGAATTAGGATCGGCAAACACATTTATGGGCACTACATGACTGCTGCATTCGACGAAGCGATAAAACCTCAAATGCCACTATTTTTTTCGAAATTACCATTCAATGGACCGAAGAAGGTGAAAGGTGAAGTTAAAGAAGGGCAAGAGTGATATGAACTTCTCATTTCTCTTATACTTTTATCTGTAGAATTGACTTTGAGAGGTCGTAACTCATCGACGAACGTTAGTAGATGCGCAAGATCCTGACGCCTAGGAATCCGAAATATTCTGAAGACCCCTCGGTATTGCTTAGTCTACTTGTTTTTGCCTTGAACTCTAGCTTTCATGTCGCATGATGTTGAAAAGTAAAGATCAGATTCCTGTCATGCCGTAATGGACCATTTCATGCGTTTTCGTCCAAATCGGATTTCGGCACTAAATGACTTTGTAAATAGACTGGTAATTTCATGGACATAGGGCATGCGGCAAACGTGACTGAGCCCTCCAGCTTCCTGAAAATTTAGCGTTGGTCCTACCGCCATTGACTTGAAAAGAACCAAGAATGGCTACTACCCCTTAACATAGAGACCTTCCGTTGCTCACGCGGTGTTTTGTATTTGAGATCAGTTTCAGAAAATGGCGTTGGCCGCTTCCTAACTGGTGCGCCGATGGGCGCACAACTGTGGAATCTGCTTGCAAGGTGCAGCCGCTAAGTTGACCAGCACAGTGCACTTGACATTTGGCTACGCAGCACGTCGTTATTTCCACTTATTGCTAAGATCTGACATCCGTATTTATTACGCGCTCGGGCAAGGGTCAATTTGCCCCCCCCCCCCCCCTCGGAAGGTCCTTCCAGGATGATTTCCGACCGACGCGGCGTAGCCGCACCGAACTGCATGGATGTAGATCATTTAATGACGGATCTTCTGGTCTGCAAGATCTGACGTGCATTGTATGGTTGATCACCTATAACGGGTCATAGGTGTCATATCACCTCTTATGTCATATTATAGGTCACAGGTCATAGGTCATATTACTCAGGTCATGGCTTTTAGCGAGTGCAAATGAGAAATCATTCAGAAATTTGCAGCGATGGAGTGTTAGACGAAGCCAAACATCTCTTAGACATACTCTTAGACGATGAGTCGATTTAATTTAGGAATTCGACTTAATTCATAGACCTTGGGTCAGCTATGAAGGTAAGGCGGAGGTCAAAACCGAGTTGTTTATTGACTGGAGAACTTGCTTCTTGGGTTCATATTTGATGCTTATTTCGAGTGTGTTGGTCACACGGACGTCAACAGATATATTGGTTGGACGGATTGAAGGTTAGGTTTCCTTGACCCAAAATGACCCTGATCCACCTTCTGTTTTTAGAACATACCACCTAACGAAATCCTTCATGCCTATCTCAATTCAGCAGTCAAGTGAATCTCACAGGTTTCTGGTCACCGTGACCTTCTAAACATCAAATAAGGGCACTGGCCGGACAGGAACGCCGATGAGTTTTTGCTTAGAACAGGTACTTGGGTGAAAGCGGCTGCATGATGATGTCTAGAATCAATGGACACCGATTTGGAGTTTGACTTTGCTCGACCTTATTTGACCCGGATGTCATGACCAAGAGATTTTAAAGTTTGGTAAAAGATGGTTTAAATTTGTCATAATTTTTGGTTTTTATGTCTTTAATTTTAAAATTACCAGTCCCCCACAGCCAGGCGCGTCGTATTCAACCGGTCGGCCGCGCGCGTGTGCGGCCATCTGTCGGATCGGGGGCTCTGTGGGTTGTGCTCGAGAGCGTGCGACCGTCACACACTGGCCCATGTCTTTGCCACCGTCATTGCTCGTTCTCTCGGCCATGAGAATCTCTTTGTATCGGGACTAGGCTTCGACCCGGCCTCTCCCCCCCCCCCCCCCCATTTGCACGCAATGTGGAAATTTTGTATTTACCTTGTGATCTGAACGGGGAGGTGAATGTGGTGATGTTGCATTGTTGCAGGAAAGCCCTCCTGATCGCTGTGTGTGCACATGGCTGACAATTTACGCAGCGTCATATGATCAGAATTCCAATTTTTCTGTTTATAAATGCATGAACCAGTAATCTGGCTGCAAAGAGAAGTGTGACGTATGGGCTGGGCCGGACCGGGCTGCTCAAGCTAAAATGTTCCCGTGTATGTCTTACGTTCTCGGCCTGTGGTCTCATTCATAATCCTGCGATACTCATTTTGCTCTCGGTGGTTATGTGGTTGTCAGGTTTTTGTGCGAAAATGTTGAACAATTTCTTTTAGACATGTGTCTTAAGAACTTCCATGTTCACAGGGCTGTTGGAACAGGACTCGGTGAAACAGCAGGGCGCAAGTATCAGGACTCGAGATATCATTGGGAAAAACGGAAAATATAAAGGCTCACTCTTTTCGAGACGAATCGGAAAGTGCATGAATAATTCGTTTGGACCGGGGAGTCAAATGGTTAGCGACCTGATGGACGCTGACAAAGAACAAACAGAACCTGTCACTAGCACTGCATCTGCCGGAAAAAAGACCGCATGTTCTACTGGTCGTGAAGACGAGAACCTGATTCTAGCACCAAAATCCCGCAGGAGGCGCTACCACTGTGAAGTTTGTGGAAAATCATTCATGAGTGACGCTTCTTTGAAGGTTCATAAGAAAGCCCACGCCGACGGCGTCACAGAGGGTCAGCGATGTGAATTCTGTGGGAAAAACATCCGTTCAAATATACCAGCGGTACTGCGGGTACATTACCGAACTCACAGCGGCGAGAAGCCGTACAGCTGCGGGACGTGCGGAAGGTCGTTCGCGCAGAAATGTGATCTGAGTGCCCACCACCGTATTCACACTGGTGAGAAGCCCTATCGGTGCGGGTTGTGTGGCGCAGCTTTCACGCAGCAAAGCTCACTCACTAGACACAACCGTATTCATACGGGTGATAAACCGTACCACTGTGATGTCTGTGGGAAGTCGTTCACCCGGAAATCGTCGCTGGTTGTTCACTCTTGTCTTGACACGAAAGAGAAAACCCACCGGTGCGACAGCTGCGGGGAGTGGTTTTCTCATCTGCGCGCTTTCAGGCACCACACACGCACCAAGCACGGTGAGGGACCGTATTCGTGCGGCGTCTGTGGAAAACAGTTCACTCTTAAAGACAGCCTCATAGTGCACGGACGTCTTCACACAGGAGAACGAGCGCATTGCTGCGACATCTGTGGGAAACGGTTCACAGTAAAGGGGGAGCTCACGAGACACTACCGGAGGCACACGGGCGAAAAGCCATATGGGTGTAAGGTGTGCGGTAAATCTTTCACGCAGAACACCATCCTCGTCAGGCACAGACGAACTCATGCTGAGCGTGAATAATGCGTACGAGTAGGACCCGTCGACCTTGGCCAAGGATTTTACATTCCTTGCGGTCTAAATCAATCAGTTTGATATATGTTAGGTATTAATCATCAACTTTTTTGCGATATTCCTTTTGTGCACTGCAGTGATTCCAAAACACGGGACAATTGCTTGGATGCTGCAAGTGTTTGCACGCTTGCTTCGTTCGCTCTCTTAAACGTAGAGCATTTGATTTATCTGTATTGCAGGTGGATGCCGATAGGTATATGTCATGCTGCGAGATATGTAGTCCTTTTCGCCCTCGGAAGAGACCGTCGAAAGCTGTCACGTTTGGGCTGTACATCTTGCAATGCTTAGGCCATGACGACCCTGTGTCGCGCTTTATTTGCCTTCTGTTCTAGGGCCTTGAGTTGCCTTTTGTGCGACTTCGTGCGTGGGATGTCGCAGGCATTCGAGCATTTCGGGTGACGAAGCTGAATTCTTCTGTGGGTCTCTGAGATGAAGGCTGGAAGTGGCTGCCGTACGTCCGGAACGTTTCATGCCATTTACTGGGATCATGTGATGCGGAAGTAAAGTATTATCAGTGCAGCACCAAGTTTATATCACGTCACTATCCAGCTGTAGTGTACTGTTTTTTTATGTTTTTCTTTTTGTCGAATGCAACTATTTGTTAGAGCAGCGTTCGTGGCAAAATATTGCCTGTTTCCAGACTGCAAAGAATGGAATGTTACAACATTACTCTGCTAAACTGAAGTTAATGTCGCATGCGTTTTTGCTTACGATCTCAAAGGAGACTTATGATCAGAATTCAGGAAATGCGACGAAAGCTTGAGAGAGAGACGATAGAGAGAGAGAGAGAGAGAGAGAGATGAAGAGGAGAGAGCGAGAGGAGAGAGATGACGAAGAGAGAGGGAGACAGGAGAGCGAGAGAGAGAGGGAGAGGGAGAGGAGAGGGAGAGGGGAGTGAGAGGGAGATGGGAGAGGGAGAGGGAGAGGGAGAGGGTGAGAGGAGAGGGAGAGGGAGAGGGAGAGGAGAGCGGAGAGGGAGGGAGGGCGAGGGAGAGGGAGAGGGAGAGGGAGAGGGAGAGGGAGAGGGAGAGGGGAGAGGGAGAGGGAGAGGGAGAGGGAGAGGAGAGGGAGAGGGAGAGAGAGAGGATATATATATTATATATATATATATATATATGTATATATATTTCTAACCCTCGTGAATTTGAAAAAAATTACTTGTTTAGTACATGCATTACCAAAGAAATGATGAATCACGCGCTCTGTTCGTGTCTCCCAGTTCGATTCGGTGTGTGCATCGCATTCTAGCGCGTACACACCAGAAATATCTTATCTCCCTGGCGCTTTTCCGTTCCTGGTCAACAAAATTATAAGGTAGAATCAATCGGGCTTGCCGCCGGAACTCTGTATAATACCACGCACCGGGCTCAAACAAAATAAGCGGTCTTCTTTGTACTTTGTTGGCAGTCAGTCAAAAAGGCCAGATAGGGCTCGCGATCTCTTTCCTACATCCTCCGTTCAACATTAAGAACTGTGAGCAAAGGACGTGCCGCGCCTCTGGGCATCCACTACAGACCGCTTGGATCAACAGAAACAGCAAAAAGACAGCATCTACGAAGACACTATTCACCCCCTCTCTGCACCAGGCAGGCGGGTGGGTATTTGGGGCGTGCGAAGCCCGCCTCGGGCATACTTTTATCAAATATGTGGTGTGCGAGTTAGAATGCAAGTTGTGGGGGAGGTGTGCCGGGGAACAGGACGTCCTGTGGGGTTATCACGGCTCGACGAATGTCTGCAGTGCAAAGGCAGCAAGTTGTCTGTCACACGTATCAGTGATTGCGCAGGTTGTGATTTGTTACGGCTTGTATTGTATGTTTTGCGCCTGATGGAGCGGACTGCTGGCCTCATGGATTGAGATTATTGGTCGCGACGGTGAAAGCTGTACCCCTCCGCCCAATGGGAGATGGTCGGCGCCGGCACCTGTATATTGTGGCCGCTCATGGTGTGTACCTTGCCGTCCGTGTGCATGTAGAGTGGAAATCAAATAAAATATTGCGCTGGAGCACCAGATAGGTGCGTCCCTGACGGGGCAGGACTCCGGTGGGTATAGGGTGGTAGGTATAGTGTGTGGCCACCTGTTGATGAAAGGTGCACCGGTGTATGGGGTAATGTTTGCGATGTTTTGGATGGCATGGCAGGTCACGACACTGTTTTCTATATGTTGGTCACTGAGGCAATATTCCGGGTAAGCGAAGAGGAAGAGATTGATTAAGTAGCGGGGTTTGTGCGATCTAGTCGCATCTGTATTGCTCTTTCGCCTTTCTGTTGGGAGGAAAGCAAGTGAATTTTGAACACGGATAGGGTGCGGGGTGCGTAGTTGAATGATAATGTGATGACCATGACGTACTTGTGCTTCTTTTGTTTTCAAGCTGATGAGGGCAAGTGGCCGAATATATTTTGTACGTTTTCGTCGCTTTCCGTGGATCTCGCGCACAAGGAAACGTCTCAATTTCAACGGCGTTATATGATGGTGTTCATATTGGCTCTCGGCGTTACCTTCACGTTGAGAACACGTTTTCGTCTGCTCTGCTTGATGTGAACGCAGCGGCTTTCATTACCCTGAACGTAGCGGTTGCGTGCGTACTACGAAGGAACGTTGCGAAAAACAACACGTGAATCATCAGTATGTAAACCGTGTAAACCTATCAGAAGAAGAAGAGTTATGTCAATAACATGAATTCGTTCTTCTGATTCTGACAGTTATCAACCTTCAATGTGCCAGGAAGTGCTGTTAAAGCAACGATATCAAGCTGACTGGTGGTATCGTCGATACCCCACGTTCAAGCATTGCTTGCATAGCTCGAATTGTCGAATATTGACGACTTAACTATTTTTTTCTCTACAATATAGGGGAAAGCGGGGTAAGACGGACACCTTAACGGCTTTTTGAATATGGCAAGTTCATAAGTCTGTCCAGAAAGTCTTTAGCAGGTGGATACTGAAGGCTGATCAATTCTCTATCTCTTATAAAAGCGCTGGCTTGATACCTCTTCATGTTAAAGTGTGATCCTCCTAAATATCAGGCAATGTTTTTTCCTCATTTTGCCCCTGGCTTGGGGCAAAACGAAGCAGTATTCGGAGCAAAGCGGACAAGTGATGAGATTGAATAAGCGAAATAAATATTTTCAAAGTTATCACTTTTTTAATGAGAACGCATCAATAAATGCATTGATCGGTGAGTAGGTATTTATCTGGACATCCAATAGCTATATTGCTTAAGTTTGGGCTCTCATATTTTGTTTGAACCATCCCACTCCATACTCCTTTCCTCAATATGATCCCACGAATAAAAGTTATAATGGCCAGCAAATATGTATTACAGCTTAGTATGAAGCGACAGCCACTTGCCGCATGGCTTAGACACAGAATTAGAGGACCACAGCGTGATGGTTTGACAATGAGACGAAAACAATGAAGTCTCAAACACACAAGTCATCGAGCAAAGTTCGCTCAGGAACACTCACTCGTTCTTCTCATCAATCCACTTCTTAGCCACTGTGAACGCAAAACACGAAAAGAGCACAGCCTGGTGGACCCGTCAGCAGGTATGACCAATGGCAAAACTAGACAAGACATCAGCCTGCCTAGTCATCCTGGCACAGTTCGCACACGAACACGCACTCATCCTCTTCATCAATCCCTGCACAGGGCATCGTGCGCCCATTTATCGCAGAGAGCACATCTCGACCAAGACTCGCTCGATTTGGACATGGAGAAGAGAGATCCACAGTACAGACAAGCTACATCTTCTTCGTCCGAGGACTCCCCAAAGGTAAGCTTTCGCGGCGTACGCTTCTTTTGTTTGCGTTGCGCTTTCTGAGTTTGCTACACTCTTCCTTTTTCGTCCCTTACACTGACTTCTGCCGTCATTTTTATTTCCTCCCTGTCTACCTTCTTTTCCTTCGATTCTTTTCTCGAGTTCCTCCTTGTATGGTGTGCCAGTCAAGGACTCACGTTTTACCGTTTCTTTCGTCCTTTACCTCTCGCCTCCCTTGAGCGCACTTTTGGCACAAGGAGGATTTCGCGGAGGGACACATAGAAGCTTGCGGGTGTATTGTTCGACCTTGGGAAGCATGGCTCGGTCCAGCTGAGCATGACACTTCCAGAACGTCATCTTCGTCATCACTAGAGCTTGAGAAATCTGGCAGTGCCCCAGCGGTGAGCAACCTCGCCGGAGTTTCGGCATTAGTCGAGCTTCCCTGCCTCGATATTCCAAGCCTGCGTTGCGTCTCCTGGCGACAGTTTCCGAGGACTCCCGAACGTTCGTGCTCACCGAGACATCATCGTCAGAGGGCCCAGGCATGGGCAGAGGAGCTGCTGCTGAGTTGAGACCCACTGGTGCGTCTGCGGTGCCGGCCAGCGAGATGTTCGTTGTTTCTGCCGCTGCGTAGTCTTCTTCGCCAAACACATGGCGGTTTGTGGGAAAGATCCCCGTGACTTCGGAGCACTTCAACGCCGTCTTCACACTTGCCGCCTGCACGTAGGCTGACCCGATCAGCTCCCCCATCTCATACAGTGTGGTGACTTTACCAGGGTTGTTTCGGAGCCACGTTCTCTGACCTTGGAAGAAGAAGGTGCTGACGGGAAGCATGAACGTCCGGTCCAGTGGTTGAAGGCGGTGTAAGGTGTGCGGAGGAATGGTGAGCATCACCACACCTGCTTCCCTGCACAGCAGGATGGCTGCGAGGCTCTTGGTGTGGCTGGCATGTCCATCCAGTATGAGAAGGACTGGATCCTGTTTCGAGGGCTTCGCGTGCTGTATGAAATGGTCAAGCCATTTCACGAACAGCTCCTTCTGCATCCGACCAGACTCATGGTACAGCACCAGGCTACCTGGGGGAAGACCCTTCTCCAGCTGCTGGTTGGCCCTCTTTCTTGGGAATATCGCGCCTAGAGGTATGTAGCTCCCCGCAGCGTTAATACACATCACCCCGGTAACCAGCGTGCCTCGTTCCGCAGATGTCAGTTGGCCGACCTGCTTGCACCCTTTCCTCGCCAGCACCTTCTCTTGTTTTGTTGCGGCCGTGTCGAATCCCGTTTCATCCATGTTGTAGATGCGTGTGGGACCGAGCTGGGCAGAATCCAGCTGCGACTCAAGGTTGTCGAAGAACGCGTTGACACTGACTGAGTTGGACGCCGCGGCGCGAG